ATATATGAGTTTGTATGTAATGTATGAACATAATATACAAGTTTCACTTTTTAAATGGAATTACTGAAATAAATCTACTTTTTCATGATATTCTAATTTTATGACCAGCACCTGTATATTTACTGAGAAAAATGTTGACGTGTTCAATACTTATTTTACCCGCTGTATTTCCAGCCACAGCCTTTAGTAAATTTATAACTTTCTTACATTTAGTTTCTAAGTTATCTATATGTGTTTTCCATGTATAAGAACTATCCAACCATAATCCTAAATATTTAAATTCTTTRACCCTTTCCAAAGGCTGTCCGTATAATGTTATTGTTCCTCTATTGATATTTCTTTTATTTGTAACAACCATAAAACAAGACTTGCTTGCTGATAATTTAAAACCCCATTCATAAGACCACTTTATTAATTGCCTTCTTAATTTTTCCTACTACATGTTTTACATTCTTTCCCCTCATCCATATGGCCCCATCATCTTCATACAATGCAGAGTTTAAACATTCATCAGTATCGGAAAAAATGTCATTAATCATTATATTAAATAATATTGGACTAATTACACTACCTTGAGGTATCCCATTTTCCACATTAAACTCTTTTGAATAATCATTCCCAATCTTAACTCTTATTTTTCTATCCAGCAAAAAATTTGCTATGCAATTATACATCTTTCCACTAATTCCCATCTGATTGTTTTTTATAAGCAGTCCTTCTCTCCACAATGAATCATATGCTTTTTCTATATCAAAAAATGCTATAATCATTACTTCCTTCATTTTTAAAGCTTTCTATATCATTACATCCTCTAGTTAGAGCATCCATTGTTGATCTCCCTGTTCTAAAGCCACACTGGTATCCATTCATTAGTTTCTTATGCTCAAGGACATATCCTAATCTACTGACTATTATTTTCTCCATCCATTTACTTAAATGAGAAGTTAAAGCTATTGGTCTATAGTTATTTGGACTGATAGGATCTTTCCCTGGTTTATTAAATGGAAGTATTATTGCCCTTTTCCAGCTATTTAGTATTAAACCTTCATTCCATATTTTATTAAATAATTGTAGCATTAATTTCAATGTTACATCTGGAATCTGTCGAAACAATACAATTGATCCTCTCCTGGAGCTGAGTATCCTGTCCCTTTCAGTACCGTTTTCATTTCTTTCATGGTTATATTAATGTTTAATGTTGACATGCATTTTTGACATTTTTCCATATTTTTATAATTTCCAAGTTTTTGTATTTTCTGCTGTCTATGAATATCTGTAAGATGTTCACCACTGTGAACTGCAGCAAATGTCTCCCCTAATAAATCTGCCTTATCTTTATTTAAAACTAATATTTCCTGTCCTCGGACTAATGCTGGCATTTTAACTTCTTTCCTTTTCCTTTTCTTGTTAATATGAAATCTTGTTGCCTATTTATACTGTCATTAATTATTGTACTCAGTGGAAAATGATCAGTCCCTAATGAAGTCTCCCTGTTAATAACCCATTAACATGAACAGCTCTCTGCTCTTCATGTCAACACACACATTTCCACTGCCGAGACGGAGGAGGAGGGCGGGACTTACAATGGTAGTCTGCATTTTTATTGGTTGAAGCACACTGGAATGTGAACATTCTGATTGGTCAAGCAGGCTGTCCAGCTTACCCAACCTCCGATTTCTTAAAGAGACACCCTCCTTCTATGTGGGTTACATGTGGCTTCATTTTATTATTATAAACTATACTGTATATTATATACTATTGTTTTTATTTATTTTTATTTTTGATGGCAATGTTCTAGCAATATAAACAAAGAAAGTTGTAGTTTGTGTAAATAATTAAATTAATAATTTCACCATGGACTACTTGCCCTCATGGACTGACTCATGTTGGCTCCCTAGGTCAGAACATGAAGCTCCAGCAGCCTCGGCTGAGCTCTCTGCCTCACACCACACCAGCACCGGACAGAGGAGGAGGAGCGCTCCAACAGCCTGACATGAAAAAATAAAAGCATACAGCTGCAGCTGCTCACAAGATCACTAGTTTAAATCAGGAATAAAAGTGTTGGGTCTTGTTCGACTGAAGTTYGGTCCGTTAGGGCTGCAGCTGCCCCGCTGTGTTTCAGCCTTTTTTTCCCTCCTCCCCTCCCGGTGTGCAGGACGTACTGCTGGTGTGTGTGTGTGTGTGTGTGTGTGTGTGTGTGTGTGCGCGCGCGCGCGCGTGTGCATGTGTGTGGGGGAGAGGGAGAGAGAGGGTGGGGGGGAGAGGGAGAGAGAGAG